CGTTCAGAATTTAAAATCATGTGTGTGTAAGCTATCTATATAAGCTAACCTTTGGGAATTGTGAAAATAAAATATAAAACCCCAAATCTCAAGGATCAACTTATTATTTTTAAACGATCTAATAGTTTTTGAGTCTATAGCTTCTGTTGATCCAACATGCGTTTTTAGTTTATAACCCGACTACTATACTTTTATGTATTCATAATTGAATGAAAAATACTATCAAATGTTGAGTATAAAAATTCGTATTATTATAGGCAAAGGTAGTAAAACATTTTGTTGAAAAGTAAATTAAATAATATTTAAATTTAAAAACAAAAACGAATAAATTTTCATAAAAAACACTCTAAAACATTATTGAAACTTTAAATATAAAAGTTTTTTGATGAAACATTCAACATATTTTTATGTTAAGTTTTTTTTTTTTAATTTACGTTTAAAATTTGTTAATTCATTGCGTTTATATACTCGTCCATCAACGCGTTGTCTGTAATATATATGTATATATGTGTGTGTTTTTTCGTCGGTTGGTAATAATTTATCATAGTTTTAAATACCAACAAAAAAAAAATCCGGAAACAATAGGTACGATTTAAATCGGTCCATTTTAACGGGTGACAGTAATATAGAATTAACAAACCCTATTTAATTCTAACTGTTCAAAGAATATTTACACAATGCACCTAGTTTTTTGCTGTCGTGAATTGTTATAAATCAAGTCTTAGGTCAAACTTACAATTTGGGCTACGTTAAAAGTAATTTATTCAGTATAATTCCKTTTTCAAATTTTTAATGAAGTAAAAAGAAAAAAACTATTAATATTATTTTTATTTSTATGTTTATTCATGTGTGMTTTAATAGTTTCTATTGTATATAGTAAGWTAAATGAAAATATTTTGCAAAAACTAAAAACTGAAACATTCACTCATATATAATATTCAATATCTACCGCTGCCCTCTTGTTTTGGGTATAGAATTCACTTGACGTTTGTTTTATTTTTATAAAAAATTAATTTCTTTTCCTCAACTAAATAATAAATCATTTGAAGTCTTGTGCAAAGTATTTATTAACGTATATTTATTGAAATTAAAATATATATAGGCGTGACTTTATGAACAAAATTAAACAATGACGCAGTCATATTATCAAAGTCAAACAAACAACGGGTATAAATTACGTCTAATCAATTATCTGCTCATACCTAGTTAGAGTTTGTGAATTATTCTCTTAAAAAATCTTATGGTTTTGTTTATTTTTAACAAATGTCTTGTGTTATTTATGTATATTTTCCCTATCAATCATATATCAGTTAGAGTTACTATACAATGTGTAACAGAAAGTTATGACAGAATGTCATGTCTTTTATATGTTTTTATAAGTTTCATTTCTCGTATATTTCTGTTACAGTTTGTATAGTCACTACTCACTAAACATTAATTTAAAGTGTAAGTATTTTAGTTCATTTTCACTGTTACAAGAGAAAAATAAAAATATTGTTAAGCTATTATAACATATTATAATCGAAGTATGAATCTAAAAAAAATATCTGGTATTCGTATTTCTCAACAAATAAAAAATGTGCGTTGAAAATGTTGAGATAATACTAATTTAAATGCACACATTTTAATATAGGTATTAGAAAATTAAATTTATTTAATAACTTGTGCGATACTTAAAGAGAGTTATAT